GCAAGTTATGTTAAGTTTTTGTTAGTCCTGTTAACTATAATTATGTTGTCAATATTTAAATTATTATGCAATAAGGAAATACAATAATTGATGGTAATGGAAGTGTTAAAGTAATGAATAGTTGTTGACACAATTTTCAGCCCAATAGAGAACTAGATCATAAACTATATCACATAAGACTAACCCCAGTGATAGTGTTCAAAATCTAAAAATAATGATTGGTCTTATTAATAAATGTAGGCCGAAACCAGCTGAGTTCCCTTCATCTCCCTCTCAGTCTGGATCCTTTGACTCATGCTTGTTAGCAAAGTGGTGCCTCTCCCATTTTACGTAAGGCACGCTCATTATTGATAAGGGCGACATGACATGAAGCAGCAGTAGCTACAATAACAGTGCTATGGTACACTAGCACAGCACAAATCCTTCATTTTAAAAAGATGATCAATGGAGAGAAATATGGAGGCAGCTTGAGTATTACTATAAATATCCCAACGCAATAGAGTATCTGAGTCCCTCTCAATGACTGACCTATAAAACAAAAACATTATCATAAGTGTATTTCCTGCTCTGATGTCTATTTCCAACACTTATGAAGGGGGATTAAGACACCTTAGTCTAGGATCAAGCTCCCACACAAATGACTTCCTGTTAGCCTTTAAATCCTTTTAAGAAGTCCAGATTACTCTCACTCGCACACGTGATGTCATATGTGGGGAGTATGGGAGGGACACAAACATACAAGTGAATATTATAATATTATTATATTATATATTATCAAAAGGAAATTCCTTATGTATATCTAATTTCTTTGGTCAAATGTTTGTTTTTTTGTCTCACTTCTAAGGCTCTAAAAAGGTGGTTGGGTAGGTAGTAATATTGGTAGAAGTAACATCATTGTATTAATTACAGAATTGCTGGTAATTGCAGCAATTATGGTTGTGAATAGTAAACAGATACCAACAGATGACAATCCTTTACATTTAGTTTAGATGTTCAGATGTAATTCAGTTAATCAACTGTCATGATTACTGAGGTCACAATATTTGTAGACACTAACTAATAGTAATAATTGTGAGAATTTCAATCTAAATGTAAACCTACTCAAGGTACTAAACAAAAGCTTTCTATCTGGCTGTTTATATTACTTTTTCATATAGAACATTTGATTTCCATAAGCTGGTGGCATAATAAAGGTATGAAAATCTTGTGTGAATTAATGTAGATTAAGGTCATGATTTCAGTCATTGTGAATAATTATAAAATTATGTTTTATATAACAAAAACATATATTGTGAGTAGAGCCCGACCGATATGGATTTTGTTGTGGCCGATATGATACCGATATAATGGCGTTGGCGCTGCCGATATAATCGCCGATATATTTAGTGATGTAAAAATTCACTGTAAATCTTGAATTATTAAAAAAAAAACTTAGGTTTGGCTCTGGTGGATTTTAAACTGGGTTTATTTAGGCAGCATTTATTGTTATTCTGCCTCTTTACATGATATGTCATAGGACTAAACCAGGTCTAAACCAGAACTGAACCAGGACTAAACCAGGACTGAAAAAGTACTAAACCAGGACTAAAACAGATCTAAACCATGTGTAAAACAGGACTAAACCAGAACTTAACCAGGACTGAGTGTCGGGACTCGATCTCTATCGCTCTCCCTCTCTCGACCTCAAGATTAATCCTGGTTTATTTATTTTATGCTGAATATATTTATGCTTTTTTTTTTTTTTTTTTTTTTTTTACCCTATGCACACGCAGATTTTTTGAAAGTTTAGTTTTCAGCCGCTGCCGCTGTCAAACTACCACAAGTCTGCACGCCACGTGAAGAGAAAAAAAGTGAGAGAAAGAGAAAACACAGCTCCCAATAAGGATCAGGCTCCCGTCGTTTGCTTCAAAGAGCCGGTTCTAAGAGCCGCTTCGTTGGCGACCGACCCATAACTACTAGCGAGTAAATAAACTATCGCTATTAGCCTTTAGCCGTAAATGCTGCACGCCGCGGTAATTAATTATATGCATAAATGTGGATCATTCACACGTCTATTCACAGCTCATTTACATATCAATGCTGGTCCAGTAGCAAATATACGGCCAATGTAGTCACTTTACAATAGACCAATAGAAAACAGCCTGTTTATGTGCGGGAGCTACAGCAGATAATCGCTAACTAATCAGCTAGTTTCAAAGTCGATGTATTTCCAACACTCACCGCTCACACAGGCTCCTCCTCACATCACAAGTCTGCACTAATAAATGTCCTTTTAATCCAGACTCAAACCGATTGTCCGTAAAAAGAAAATAATCTCAGTGTTGCGCACATGGATCTGTTTCTGCGGCTGTAATCAAACACACGTGACTCTGGGGGGGTGTTCAGGGACAGTACGGACACAGACACAGACAAATTACACCGCAGATAAATACTGATGCGGAGCCACATATCTGGACATTTATCTGTCTGTAAATTGGATTAAATGAACAGAATGTAGAGAGTCTAATATTTATAACGAGGTATAACATGCCTATGTGAAATATCGGCCCCTATCAGCATATCAGCCGATAGCCGATATGCCTCCAGTTGCTCATACCGGCCGATAATATCGGCCAGCCGATATATCGGTCGGGCTCTAATTGTGAGAGTTCATTACTTTATAGTATAACTAAAAAATTTAAAAATTTAATTTACCATAGTTTTACTTGAGTACATCCCCCTCTGCTTAACACAATACTAAATTGCCACAACCAACAAATTACCACATGATGTGGGCAAATCTTGAACACCAGTGTAGCTTCATGGCTTCCCAGTCCATTACAACCCCCCACACAGTGTGACCCATTCGCATGCGTCAGCAAGTGAACCCTCGCTGACAGTCGACATCATGACAGGCACAGAGGCACAGTATGGAGGGGGCAGATGACTCAACCAAGGTGTTGTGTGTGAGTATCTTCTGAAGCAATTTGAGCGACTTGGTATATTTAACCACATGGATTAAATGTACCATAACATATTTGCTTGTTACTAAGTTCAGATTTTAAATTGTGGTTGTGCTGAAAAGACAAATCTTTATCCAATTATGGCATCAGTGCCTGAAATAGCCATCTGTAGCACACAATTACATTTTCTTCTCTGCTTGTTCTAATCTAAGTGATTGCAGTTCATTCTTTTATTCATTATTCATTATTCAGTAATACTGTGCAATTTAAAGGTGAAAAATGTAAGTACATTAAAGGATATAGAGTCACCATTTGTCCATGCTCAAATAAAAATAGCTATGCATGATGCATTGTAGGGAAATTATATTGTTTCTTTAGCAGAGTACTTCCAAAACAATAGTAGAGGAAATCTGACAGGGTCTTTAGGGTAGATGCATTTATACATAATTTGTTGCAATTTTGCTGAGTAACCAGTTAGATTTTCATCCACATTAAAAAGAAAATCAGTATGCCTCTGATTTACTTTTTAAATATAATATTAACTTAAAATCCTAAACTTTATATATCACATTTTAGAAACAAAACCGTTTCAAAAGTGCTGCACAGGGACAGATCATAAAGCCAACAAAAGGTATACATGCTAAATTTGATGGTACTACTCCTAAAATAATGAAAGCAGTAAAATAAAATTAGAGCATAGCTGTAATACCATAAAATAGCAATAAATAAGTAAAATAAATTAAAGTAAATTATTAAATGTTACTTGTATGCAAAGTTTATGTTACATTTGGGTCTTAGCTTAGCTCTTGGTGTGTAGTGAGAGGAGACCCTTTGCAGAGACAGAAATACCTCAAGGATTACTAATGACAGAACTGAACACGTGAATGCAGGATGTAGATTGACAAACGCACGTGAGGGCCAGCCAAGACCACTCTCTCTAACCTATGTCCTCAGGGGATTCCATCATTCATGCCTAGTAGTTTTCAATGGGATGGTACAGTAACCTACAATGTCTGCGATATAGGATCTTCAGTGGGTGTACAATATGTGTTCATCTTTATCATGCCTGCTGAGAATCCACTCATGCACAATCACTTTTTGGCCCCTTTTCACAGTGTACTAATGCCACATACACATTGCACCATCTGTTATGTTTTCAAAGTGGGCATGCAGATCAGACAACGCATAAAATGTACACCAGTAAGACCAGACATTTAAAAAGCAGGTTAAATGCCATGTGCAGGAGAGGGTGGGCTTGACATAGAAAATGTCAAAATCCAACTAATTTAAAAACGGAAATCCACATGCTAAATTGGGTCTAAATCAACATAATTACACAACTAAACCAGTATTAAAGTTTGCCATAACATCACCCTATATCAAACTGGATTAGCTCTAAGTCATTACTAAAACGAATTAGCCTGAAACAACATTAGCAAAGGGAATAGTCAAACCCTTTAGAAAGGTTCAAATAAAAACAAATGCAAATTTAAAAAGAACCCCCAAAAAACTAAAGCATCTTTTAGCTGACACACCCTAACATAAGTTGGAGTATCTTACCTCTAGATAATACAGCACTAAACCAAAGTGTGGTCACATGAAATTTAACTGATACATTTAAATGATAAAGAAGAATAGTGAGACAGTGTTAAAGCAGGACCTAAAAAAAAAAAAATTCAAAGTGAAATTTTATAGCATACCACCAAGAAGAAGCTAGTGAGGTGGCTTTTAAATGTATAATCAACAGCGATCTTAGTTAAGCCGGTCTTAGAACAACTGATACAAGTCTGTCACATCATAAAGGATTTATTATTCAACAGCCAAATTATGATGAATAAAGCTCAATAATTGCTCCAGAAATCACTGCTTTGCTCTTCCTCTTTTGATTATTGAAAATATGGGAAAAATACTGAGTAGAAAAGTCTCCCAGTGCTATCTTTCCAGTGACCTATTTCAACTACACAGTGCAGTGGATGTCTATGTTCTATTTATATATGATGGAACATAAATTACTGTTGTAGCAGAGTGGTGTTGCGTGAAAAGCTGTGCAAATCTTACCTCTCCTAAGTGCGGCGTGGGATTGAATCCACATAAGTTGCACACCGTCTTCTTACACTCGGTGCAGAGACTGTAGTTGGGCGTGTCAGACGATCCCACATTAAGTTCTATGTTGCAAAGAGGACAGCTTTGTTTTGGTGTAGCTGAAGCAGGTGTCTCCTCCTTATCCACAGACATGGACTTGGTTGGTTTAGTAAGTTTAGCGGGAGGAGTATCTGGAGCAGAGTCAGTGTCTGGGGGAGATCCTGGGGGGGAGAAGGGGGAGTCAGGGGGTGAACCGGGGCCAGAATCAGGAGGTGATCCTGGGCCAGAGTCAGCAGGAGACTGTGGAGGAGATCCAGAGGGTTCTGCTGGTTTACTGTCCTCTCCAGTGACAAGATTGGAGGCTGAGCTTAACAAAGATGACCCAAAGCTGAACATCTGAGAGGCAGCTGCTGGAGGTTTCGAGGATGAGTCGGACAACCCACCAAAACCGCTAAATAACTTCCCCGCTACAGACTCATCCTGTTTTGGTGCAGTTTGTGCTTGTGGCTTTGAAGTTTCCATCAAACCACCAAATCCACCAAACAGTTTGCCCGTAACAGATTCTGATTGTGAAGAAGTGGTGGAAGATTTTACTGAATCTGTTAGACCTCCAAGACCAAATCCACCAAAGAAACTAGACTCCTGTTTGGCTTTCGATGGAGACTGCTGTGGACTGGTCTTCTGCATGATAGGCTTTCCAGTTTTGGGGTCAATCTTTGGGGATCCTGACATGGATGAGCCCGGTGATGGTCCTGGTGATGTTGGACCAGGGGATTTTTGCCTGGGGGTGGTGGGCGGAGTCAAGCCCTGCTCGCTCTGGTGGCTCTGCTGCTTTATGAGGAGGTTGCCAGGTTTCCCAGGAGGCTGTTTCTGAGGGGATGGTGGGACAGAACCTTGTTTGGGATTTGGGGGGTCCATGCCTCCCATTGCTCGCTGCATTTGGCAGTTCAGACACAGCCATTCCTTTCCCTGGAAATGAAGAACACATGTATCAGAGCTTCAAGAAAATGCTATAACCATATTTTTTGTCTGTATATTATGATGCAATCAAAATCACAATTGTTTTCATGTAGATGATTATTATAAATCAAACTTCATAAGATTTGGCATTTAAAAAAATCTAAATATTACTGACTAATTTCTACTACCCACCAAGCATGAGTAATATTATGATGATGTATGAAATATCAGTAATTCATTGAAATACAGAGATTCTTGCTTGTCTTCACAAGTGGAAATAATCTACAAGTTGTGGTGTCTTTGGTATTTGGCCGTGCCATTAGTCCCCTTGAACAACATGGGCGCAGTTCCTACAGTCTAGGTTTATAATCTGAATGAACAGATACAACTTTTTTTATTTATTTTTTTTACATTGTGTTGATGGAAAATATTTGTAATTATAATACTATATGCAGTCTGTCATTACAAATTATATTTATTCTTTTTGTAAACTCCCCATTGAAATACAAATAAATGCAACAGAAAAAAATGTAGCAGAATAGGTAGTCTAGTCTTACCGCTGAGTCTGGAGGACTGAAGCCACACAGGCTGCACACCTGGTTCTTACACTCAGTGCAGTTGTTATAGTTTGGTGGTTCTTTAGCCCCAACATTCATCTGGGTGGTCTTACACAGTGGACAGGGCACATCTTTCCCAGCTCCCTGTTGGGCAGCAGGCCCAACACTTTTAGCTGGTCCAGGTTGACCTCCAGGACCAGATGGGCCCTGCTGTTTTGGACCAGCTCCCTGAGATGAAGGAGCAACACCCTTTTGCTGAGGAGGACCACCTTGTTTAGCCCCTGGGCCTGGGGGTCCTGGTCCTGTTTTGGGGCCCTGTTGTCCTGGAGGTCCCTGGGCTTGTTTGGGACCTTGTCCTGGAGACCCCTGTCCGGGCTTGGGTCCCTGTCCTGGAGGCCCCTGTCCAGGCTTGGGTCCCTGTCCTGGAGGCCCCTGTCCAGGCTTGGGTCCCTGTCCTGGAGGCCCCTGTCCAGGCTTGGGTCCCTGTCCTGGAGGTCCCTGCCCAGGTTTGGGTCCCTGTCCTGGAGGTCCCTGTCCCGTGGGAGCCTGAGCTTGTTTAGGACCTTGTCCTGGAGGTCCCTGGCCAGGTTTTTGTGGTGCTCCTTGTTGTGGACCTTTAGGGCCCTGCTGTTGAGGGCCTTTGGCTGGTGTATCACCCTCTTCTTCATCTCCAAATATTCCAAATTTAGGGATGGTGACGGCATCACCCATTGAGGATAAAGAAGAGGAAACTGAGGAGGTCATGGCACTCAGGGGGTTGGCCCCACTCAGGAAACTGGATCCGAACATGCCTGAGGATTTGCTTTCAGAGCTCTTTGGCTCTTGCCGAAATCGTGACTCAAAAAGGCTTAAGGATGACGGACTGCGGCCGGGGGAAGGCTTCCCAACTGGACCCTGGTTGAAAGCATCTATAGTGCGGCTCTTGCTGAGACCTGCTGAGCCCCTGGAGGCTCCAACCACCTGGGAACGCTGTTGGACATCACCTTGTGAGGGTCTGATGAGAAAAGAAAAGAGGGCCAGGGTTAGGTTCATGTCAGGATATGACTTTTTAAAAACTCTACAAATATCACATTTACTCAGCATCGAATCACAAGTCTCAGAGACCTGCTGTGCAAAATTATATAGGACCCCAAGTATAGCTTCAATCCAACAGGGAGCATTAATATGAATCCAGAACCCCTAAACATAACTGACAGAAAATGAATACCATCAAATAACCCACTGATCATGGAAAGAAAATGCCTGGCTACATGGCAGTAAGCTGAGACATCTCCACATAGTCTGAGAGCAGAGCAGAAACAAACACTGTAAACAGGGCCCTTGCTGATCATGTAAGTAAATAAATAATGTTATATGGTATTTAAAATGCATACAATACTTTTGTGGGCAGAGAGCAGTGTGATTAACTTCAAGATTGATTTAGAGTATTGGATAATCTCATGACTACTGGATGAGTCCGATGGTATAATGCTCTGTTGATGTATAAGGTACTGTGGGCCAATACTCTACCAGCTGGAGCCGCATTCAAGGCAGTGGGGAATTTCAGCACCATGGCCAGCGATCACACACTCAGTGCAGAACAACTACGCCACGAAGTTTGCTACTATAGTTTATAATTTGAAACTGAAAACTTACTGTAGGGGGACGTCTATAAAATATTGCATCATCGAAAGTAGTTCTATTTATAGACATATTAATATTGATGCCCCCTCCCCCCAGTCTCTAGCTATGACAAGCCTATAAATAACAATTCTCCCCCAATTGAAACTAATTAACAGGGACTCATCCCATGTTATCAGATCTAACAGACGGACGAAAGCCACTTTTTATTATCACTTGATAGAATTGTAGAACTAGCACATTGTTTACTATTGTGCATGCTCTGCTTAGGATCCTCCACTGGTGTGAAACTACACAACATATCACCGAACTATAAGACTGTGTGTTTGAAGAAGAGGTTAATCAGACAGACAAATGAGAAGGAGAAACTCGGTGCACGACAGATTTTCTTACCCAGCAGGCATTTCGAACAACTGTATTATCAAGTGGAAGTGTGTCTACTTCAGGAATCACCCACAGAGTATGGGAAATGAACAGAGTAATACAATAGACGAGAAATAATAATTTATAATAAAATGTTCAACGATAGGCTAGTCTAAACGACATGGTAACCTTTGTGTTGTAAACCTTTACCCAATTGTACAAATGTAAGACGTCCTGTGCACCAAGTGGCCTGTGATTGTAACTGTTGGTAACTGGATGGATTTCTTGTCCTACATAAGCTATAAAGGTTACATAGCCTACACTGTATGTTGACTAATAGTGTGTAGTAGTGTGTGTGTAAGGGTAGCGGGTGTTGAGAGCCGTGCCTTCGTGCTGCTCCTCCAGGCTGCCTGCCCTGCGCTCTCGCCATCGCGACTTCTAGTTGTTTTCTTTGCTCCTCGCTCAGTTCGCTCAGGTCCACCGGGTCTCCACCAGGAACACGCACAAATCCACCTTTCCCATCCGGAGCCAGCCCTTCGGGTAGCCCCTCTCCTCCTTCTAGACTCGCTTCATTCCCCATGATGGACCCCTCCCGTCTTCCTTACACCGATCAATGTGTTTTACGTCCAAAGCGCGGAGCGGACACGGCGTTCTTCGGTGCTTCGGATCATCATAAAAGACCAAGATTTACTGCTCACTCCGTTTTTCTGTTGCCGAGCTTTCATATCCTCGTTTCTCATTGTTTTTCTCTGTCGCGCATCTCTGCAGCTGTACCACAGTTACAACAGTTCTCACTGAGCAGGGTCTCCATATTACTACTGTAAAGGCTCACTAAAGCAACTTCCGGTTTACAAAATAGAGCAAATCCAATGAAATCCGTTTTTTCTTCCTTTAAGCTTATGGGAAAGAAATAATATGGATGCACGAGATTCTATTCCAAACAACAACTTGTTACCACATTTCCACGCAAGTTATCCTTCTCAATTGGCAGATAAATGCTCAATCGATTAGTATGGGAAATCATATACATTTAAATCATATTCTTGAAGCGTTTCTTTAAACATATTCTGCTGCACTATTTGTAAGCAAGATGGAAATATAAATGTAAACTGCTGCAAAACGCTTTATCATAAGACCAAGAGCTGCAGCTGGATTTGGGCAAACACTCGCCTAATTTAAGTCAACTCCCTTTAAAGGACGTTCTATATGTGGCTATATTATAGTTAAATAGGTAATTATTTTTTTCTACATATAAAAAAAACCAAAAACATTTCTATAAAGCATGTTGTTCACTTCCTTTTCAGTACAACACTTCAGTTAACTTGACGCTATTTCTCACCCACTTCGCTTTTAACGCGCATGCGCCTCTGGTGACAGGCCATCAGGAGACATCAGCAATGGAAATAGTGGTTTTAAAGCAGATTGACTCCACTTAAATCCCGCTTATGAGATAGTTTAAACAGGTGTAACATGGATAATCGGCTCATTTGGCCTGAGGGCCATCATTACACAGTTATATCTTACAAAATGTTGCTAGGGCTTCTAATAAGCCAATTTACCACAATGACACATGCATGGTGAATATAACTTATGCTCTATATTTTTTATGTGTAGGAGCACTGTGCATGCTATCCTAACTATACTCTATAAATACTTCCATAAGACTTTACTGTTCACTGACTTAACTTCATGTTCATGCAAGGCCTCGCTAACCATATTTTGACAAATATTAAGAAATTATAATGTAATATTAGTATTTACAAAAAAATAAAAAATGTATTAAGATTGCTTAATGAAAATACTCAATGTACCAAATGCTAAAATGAACCAGGCGATGTAACAAAATTACATAATCTACACCCACATGCGGAGCTGAAGGAGTGTGAAACAAATCTACAGCTAATGACTGTACAGATAGTATGCACAAGCTGCCACATGAAGAGACGTTAAAATACGTCTGTTCTGTTGTGCATCAAGCAGATGTGCAGCAATGTGACAGTGAGGGCTCATCCTTACTGTGGAGCTGAGGGGCACATGTGTCCTCACCATCTTTTGTAACCAAGCACAAATCAACAGGATCAACAGATATTAGACAAAGATTCAAGGCTCTTTGGTTCTCAGACAATTGGTTTACTACATGTTCTTTGTGTTCGGTCTTGTGTCACTTAACTACGTGTTTTCAGTGTTCCACTGTTTTCCAAACCATCTTGTTTTATCCACGCTGCAGTGGTCCCCAGCTAAACAAGTACCCTTTACTCCCCGTCTCACACTTAGCTGCAGTGTTTGACGAGTAATGCATGGTACACGAGCAATATGATTTTCATATTTTAAGATAGCTGTCATTAGTTATTTCATTGCACAGTACATAGCATTATAAATCATCAATGCTTCAACTGTTTCAGTGTAATTCCTCTTTTGTCCAGGAGTGGTCTATGGTAGAAAAGGTTTTAAAGGTATAGTGAGCTAATGTTTCTTCCATTTTTACCATTCCAGGGATTTTGTATTCTCTAATAACTTCCTAATCATATCTTTCTACAGTCTGCATAGTTGTGTAGGCTATAGCATCATTTCTTGAACAAACAATACTAGTAGCATTGGTTTATCTGCTTCTCACTTCAGTTTATTTCCCCCACTGATCGCTGAAGCATGGCCTGATTATCTATATGCTGTCAGGCAGAAACCAGTGTCTCACTCAGTGAAATGCATACAGGTGTAAAGTCACTGAGTCAAATATGGGGCCGATCCTATGGCCGCTGTCTGTCAAAGTCACAGCTGTAATGGGGGAAAGGTCACTATGGTTTTTCTGTCATTCTCACCATACACCTATAGTTCTTTCTGTTAGAAGAAAATGGCAGAGGTTGGTTACAGCAAACAAGCATATGGGATCAACAAGCTTGTGTCAGCTACTTCAAATAATAGTATGATTAAAATAATTCCCTTGCTTTCATTTGTGACACAATGTGACAAGAATAGACATTAAGTCAATGATGTGAAATAGGACAAGCTCACATGTGTGTTTTGCATCTTTGGCAATGTAACATGAGGAAGGTAACCAGAGAAGACACCGTGTGCTGTTCATTAAATTTGAATTGTCAGTAGCAGTGTAAGACCATTTCTTACAAAGACAAAGGCTAGAAAAATATGTATTTTGAATTTAAAAGAAAACATTTAAAAGGAAAGTTCGAGATTAGAAAACAAACCAGAAAATTAGACAGTATAAAAGGTAATCTATAGTGAAAAAGAATAACACAACACTGTATTTAAGATTGAAATAATCCTTTGAGAGCTTCCCCATGCACCAGAAACATCAGTATATTTATAAGCCAAAGCAAATAAAACATACCTTTTTGTTAAGCTTGCGTCTGAGAGGAGACTGCCGGTATCCTTGAAGCCAGTGAGTTCTGAGGTGACTCAAGTCCCCAGTGTACTTTGAGAGGCGTTTAATTTTTGCTACATTCAGATTGAGCCGCCCTCATCCTGATTAGCTACCTGGCATGCGCCCCAGTCCACCATCAACGGCAATTTGCTCCTGACCAGCGAGACACCCTGAACTAAAAATACCTTTCACAGCGAGTGCCTTCACTGTTGCCGTACTCTGTGGCATCTATACACTCCGGCACACGCACCTAGTAACAAAGACAGCCTCTTGCATGGACATAAGAAGACCAAGTAATCCTCTTTTCCTCTGAGAGATAGGCCAATCACACACTTCTCTACTGTAAGCCCTTTCCCTGTCCACACACTGCTGTAATTCCCATTGCAAGTTAACTCACTGGCTATCATCATATCAAATGAACACACAAAGAGATCAATTATTAATTCAGGATCATCCTAAGCTCACTAAAGACCTATAAAATTAAACATTAGCTATTAGCTTCTGTTGATGTAAATATAAACAGAAAGCAGATTGCTTTGTAGGTTATAAAAATGTACTTTACCAGTAGTATTGGGTAATTTTACTAACTTATCCCAAATATGCATTATTATACAACTGTCTTGAATACTTTTCTCTATTTCATGGGAAAGCTACTAAAATTGTATGACATCTCTGACCTTTACTATACAAAACATCAAATTCAATTCAAAAAAGGCTTGAGAAAAAGTACTGTATGCACTTCTTTTGTTTTGATAGTCACAGGTGAAAGGGCATAGGAAGGACAGTTTAACTGGGAACACAACTGCTAATAGGATTTATCAGTCTGGAGGCCAATCTGAAAAGCCACAGTTCACAGGACAACATTGCAGTTTGGAACAACAAAGATTAGTTTGCATTTAGTTTTATACTAATTGCACGCACCTCATCACTTGCAATTGTATTTCTTCTTTGTTGAGAATATTCAGACAGTAAAACATATCATTGCTCTGATGTCTTGTTCCTCAGAAATGTGAATTCCTGTGAGTATTGCAGTCTATCCACCGTCTGTGCAAGAGATCCAGCTTAATTAGCTGTGCTCCAGCTTCTCTGCCTTTTGTGGAAAAACTACATTTAATCTAGAAACTCAAATAAACCAACACAGCATAACTAAGGTGAAACTCAATATTTCATGCCAACATAATAACACCAGTTGTTAATGAATAAAAATAATACTCAGCAATTAAAAGCAGAATTGAATCTTACACTCTACAATTGCCCATCACCCATATAAAAATATGTAAGTGTGTCTGCAGATGAAAGAATGCTCTTTACTCCATCTAGTGGTAATTTATCTTCTCTACAATTCCTCTTTAGCTCTCCCTCCCTGTGCATCACGCTCTGTTTTAAGAGACTGACAGCAGTTGGCATCTTTGACTAATGTGCTTTAGTCCTAATAGCCTGATTCATTGTGGTGGGGGAGGTGTAGAGGATGGAATTTTTCAATGAGCACTTTTAAGTGAGAGAAAGATGAAAAATACTGTCAAGGTAAAAACGTATTTGCTTATGTGCAAATCAAGCGTCACCCACCCACTGTGCACATGAATCATTACACCTGTTACCTAGGCAGTGCGTCAGGCCTGGCAACGTCACTCCTTTATTCTTATGGGGGAAGGTCTCCAGAGTGTGTGCACATAGATGAGTCACACATGCTCACATTATGATGCTTAACAAGAGCACATTTATATATATGTACTTTAAGAAATTAACTGGAAACTGTAAGTCATTGGCCTTGAGCATTGTACCAAATACTAACGCTAATAAAATCTACCCCTTGGCTCATCACCATGTTGCAAAGGCACAACAGTAAAAAGCTTGTGATTTATCTAGTCCTTAACCGTAAGTTTGCAGTGAAACCACAAATCTCCACAGAGACAGACAAGTGTGAGGCATTGATCAGCTAATCAATCCCATGCAATCAGACAAAATGGCCGTAAGATGAGGTCAAGGCAGCGTCTTCTTTTATGTATGTGTGCATGTGCGTATGTGTGACTATCTCTCCTCTCACACGTGCAGCTGTGTTGATCGCCCAGGTTTATGACTACCAGTCTTGTAGCGATCTGTTGAGGAGGTGGGCCCATGGCTATAAATCATCCTTTCTCCACAACACACAGGGAAATTTATGTCCCAGATGGTGGTATACAAAGCAGGCTCAGATACACCATGTGATTAGGGAGTTAGAGGGAAAGGTAAACAAATTAAGATGCATTTCTGTACTGGCAAATATGATTGTAATATGGTGTGAACAACATTGTCAACATGGGCCTTTCCATTAGATTAGCTATTGACACAGAAAATGTTTAAGGGGCACTGTATATATTTTCTCTTATAAGGTCCAGCACCTTCTTATGTCTATAATGTTACTGTTTTGTCTGAAATGTTTCAAATATTGGCATAAACTAGGCAGGCACCATCAAACCAAGTATGTTTATGGCAATAAAAAATGTGAATCACAAAATAGTAACATCTTCCTGAGGGAAGTAAGTGGCAAAGTTACATAGTATACCTTCAACCTCAGTACTAATTATTTGTGTGTATTATTTGAATTTACACTAAATAGTATTTCTGTTGCATTATCCCGAGTAATTGATGATTAGATGCTGTATATCTGTATGAAGTAAAAAAAAAACTTGATTAAAAATAAAAGGCTTCTAGAATCAATATCACATAGGTGAAACAATAATCTGATTATTTTCAGAATAAAATGCATTTTCACTCTCACAAATAAGTGTATATTTTAAATTAAAACAGGCTATATTGTTGACAGTAATATAATTCTTCTAGTCTCTTAGTTGTTCATAAGAGCCCTTAATCTCCATGCAGACCAATAATCAATAGCAAACATCGCCAGTGATCAGTGGAGCTGTGTCACAATGGATCCCTCCTTGGTTGCCATGGTTTCAGCAGCAGATGCCACTCACCTTCAGGCTCCAACTGTGGTTTCTCTCCAAAAGCTGTGCACAGTACATGCAATGTACAATGTAAATGGCAAATATCAAGACACTAGCATACATTGTTTGGTACATAGTTTACATGTGATGCATATACAAAATGTTGTGTAAAAAATTTATAGATGCAAGTATTTCAAATATGTATATTTTAGTAACCTATTGTATTGTAACCACTAGTATAACTGCAGTTAAACTATAACAAACATCAGGGGGTGTGGCTAAAGATAAAATGCAAATGTTCCCATTTAAAAAATGCTATGAGCAAGTCATTCGATATATTTTATCTTGCCAGTGATCAAACTGTTTTCTCTTCATGCCCACGGTCTTGAGTTCCCACAGTCCTTTGAGTACTCATATAAGTAGGAAGCAATGAGTCAGAGCATTTGGATAGAAAGCACCATTTTCCTATTTGTGAGACGATTTACATATTAACACACAAAAGGAATACATATAATTTTGCATTCTGCACATTCTATAGGGGGCTTTTTGAATCCAAAAGAATGATGCATAGAAATAAGTGCAGGTTAAAATGAAATACAAAATATATTTTTAGCTAATAAATTGCATTGAGCTAGCTTCATGAGAAGGGTGAAGCAAAGGGTAGCTAACAAAATAGCTGTGAGACACTGCAGTGGACATGAGTCCTTGAGATGGCTCAGAGCTGCCTACAGCAAACCTCACATAACATAATGGTGAAGAAACCCTGTGTCTACTGCTCCAAATGTGAGTGTGTTTTTGGATCAAAGCACACATATACACAAGCTCACATGCTGAGTTTCCCAGCTTTTTGGGGACATTCATTCATTACATCACAAGGACCTGATTTTGTCCACATAAGGGAGACAGGTCTGATGTGAGTGTGTACAGATTTTAGTCCCCACAATGTGATACATATCCACCCACACAGGACATTCAAGGACAGTCGCCATGACAACCACAGAAGCAAATTTATTAACTGTGTGAAACTTGAAGACAGGCAACAGTTTAACACTTGAATCACCCTTACCGACGTCTGCACACTACAGCATGATTGTGGAGATGAGGGCAATCAGAAATCATCTGAATGTTTAAACAAAAGTAAGTTATGTGTGAAGACTTAAGAGGATGAAAAATGGTTCCAATAAGGCCTTGAGGAAAATTTGAGTTATGATGCTGCTCTACAGTGTCATCTTGTGGACGTGAAGTATAATGAAACGTACAGTACAAATAATGTTATTATGGCGGCATCTGATGGGAAACATGTGTATTGCATTCATATTGTATTTAAGTCAGGTAATAACCTGCAAAATGACACAAATTATGCAGTGTATGGCCACTGCATGTGCATATTGAACATAATGTTTTATAGATCTACGCAATACTTGTTAATGTATTGCTATATAGGCTATAGAAAGTGTGTGCAGAAATGAGAACAACTTATTTGTAACAGAGATGTTTATTTAGACAACTGAATGCATGCCAGAAAGTACTGTTACAGCAGCGGTAACTTTTAGCTCTCTCATTTGTCAAACAGGAGAGGACTGAAACAGGACTAGGTACATATCTGCACTAATTTATTGCACTGGCACGTGTTTTTGTAATGTGCTAGGAGAGAGGAAGACCAGCAGAGGGCGCTGCTGTATCATGGAGGACCATTCAACTTTGGCTGGAGAGTTGTTATTATCACTGTTTTGGCAAAAGGACAAAAGTATTTCACACCTTGTTTTAAGGGAACTTCACCTTTCACACAAAACACTAAGAGACACTAAAAAGATGCATTTACTGTAGGTAGCATTCACATGCAGAATAACATGTCTTCTCCTCAAACTAGATTTTACATTTTCTCCACTATTACAGAGATTCACAGCTAATCTTTTATCAGGTTGGGGTTTATTTTACACTCAATGGCAACTTGACAAATGAAAGATGTAGGGAAATGAAATAAAACAAACTTGTGCTTATTATTGTGGGAGCTAGAAAATGAGTGGCTCTTGTGTCAAGCCACTTGTGCATTTCTCATTCATTATACAGTATCTACAAAAAGGATTCCAGTTTCAGTTTGTTGGTCCATCCCACAGTTCATGGCCGTTGATGCCATTGCTTTGTCTTTATACTAATGAGCCAAAAATATCAAAAATAAATGTAACCCTTTCACATAACTATGAGCAATAAATAATAGTAATCAAGTGACGTTCTTGTGCTGTATAGGTACTGTATATACACAACGATACATTTGCATTATGTATGCACACAAATAACAGGGTTTTAGCATTTAGCCATGAACCATATGGAATCTATATTCTAGAAATCCCAGAGAAAACAATGACACAATAAGTTACATGGAAACCATATAAGAGCACAATGAGATTATGATGTATGTCTTGTCTGACATTCAAAGCACTGGTTTTGAAGGGAAAGTAAATATAAAAGAATTTAAGTTACATTTGGTAGGGCGTAAAAAACCTCTAATGTCAGTAAAATACCTAGCTTATTAAACATTGATTGATGATGACATGCACAATGCGTTTCTTTCCTCATGTCGAGTATAATAAAGCATTGTCCCAACACTGTGGCTGACTTGTGAATGATGCTTCAATATAATGGCCACTGATGGCAACCCCTTGTCCATCATTAAGGGCGCAATTGTTGCTCTGTCACTTTAAATGTTTCCAGGAAAGAATCTTTCCTCTTAGACACTTCTCCAAAATAATCCATTCCATGTATTGTATCAGTTCACATGCTCAGGTAAAGGGCCCAATGTACAGGTGCACAAGTCTCTAAGACTGTCCCTTTTATCTCTTTGTCTCTTCACAGGACGTCCACTGAAGGAACACAACACTTTAGTCTGACCCAGTTAATTTTGTAGCTTATTTACAGTAGCCTAAAGGCTGCCTGACCACATTTTAGGCAGTCATGTCCCCACTCATTGCCACTTAATTCCAGTGGAATTGTCTTTACCATTGTCCTATTGTCCACTTCACAGATTATTTAAGTGAGTTCAGCAGCGTTGTAATGTAATGGAACTAAAACTGCTCTAATGGAGAGGTCACTGGATCATACATTGAATACAACACTATAGAAAGTCTAGATGTTAGATGCTTGGGGCTTGTGCTTATGTCTTTCACTATTGTGCTTTGTCCTCCTCAAACACTCCTTGGGGGTCTCTGGAGCTCATGGGTCCTCCTGTTACGTCCCTTCTTGTTCTCTTGCATTCGTCTCCATTTCGCTGCATGCTGATTGGCCACCCTAGCCCCTCCCCCAGTAGCTTGGGAGCCAGCATTTTGACCACCTTGTGGTTTCTGGTTGTTCTTAGATGCTTGGCTGCTGAGGTTTTGTTGTGGCGGGTTGAGGCTCCGCTGTGTCCCTTCAGCTGTTGATACTGCTGTTTGAAGCCATGCTCTGCTCTGTGGGGGAGATCCTTGCTGTTTTTGGGCTTTAGGTGGAAGAGATTTTTGCCTTATTAAGGGGTTTGCAGCAGCACGGTCAGGTTTGACATTAGCAGTCTTCACTTTTTTCTGCTTGCGCTCTTTCTTCCAAACTCGGTCACAAAACTCCTCCACACTGTTGAGGTCTGGGTGGTCCAAGAGAGAAAGGAAATCCCGATACCACATTCTGTGTTTGGCAGACGGGCCCACACCAGTGCCCACAACAGGGAAACCTGGTAAAATATCACCCAGCTTCTGTGTGGGGATGACTTGAAGATTGAGGCGCATTAGGGGCTGGATGAAGCCGTGCTCTACAGCCTGGCAGTGGTAGATCCCCACATCGGACTGGGTCAGAGTGCGGATCAGCAGGCCCTGGTCAGTGCGCAGGATTCTGTCATCAAATCTGATCTACAAATGAGAAAATGATAATAAAATGAAGTATTTTTCTACATATATATATATATATATATATATATATATATATATATATATATATATATATATATATATATATATATAGGGCTGGGCAAAAATAAAAAAATTTATCGCGATTAATTGCATGAGTATATATTTATTTATTTATTATTTATTTATTATTATAGTTATTTATGTGAGATTTTTGAAATGTTGAAGTTGTAAAAAGTTGTTGAGAAATTGTCTGAGAGGAGATAAATCAACAAATTCTAAAAATGAAATGTGATATGATGCACTGGGTCAGCTGTTTGAAAAACTGGAAGGGTATACAGTGCAAATATATGAAAGATGCCAGAAAAAGTTAATTCATTTGCCACCCACTCACTTGCATCAATGGAAACATGAGCAGAAATGAAGGACGCTTACATGATTAAGTCAAAGGTCAACCTAAATATCTTCACCCACAGGTTATGACCTTAAAAGAGAAGAGGCTAAGAGCTAATTACATTCATAATACAGGAGGATAAAGGTGTAGCCCATGGCAGGCTGGTTAAGTTTTGGAAGAGACTAATAATTAGAGCAAATGTCAAACAATTATCCCCAGGGGCACAAAATATAATAAAACAAAAATAAGGATTTAAGAGAAACATGCCTCTATTTTGCGGTCATCATTGAGTCGCTGCAGTTGCCAGTAAATCAGAGCTCTTTGAGATTTAGGACTGCACTCCAGAAACATACTGCTATTCTCCACTCCAAACACAGTCCTATCTTCAATAGTGCCTCCAATCCCATCCATGTCATCTGTCCAAACAGACAAAAAATGTATAAATATAATAAATACATTTACTACTGTATGTTTGTTAATGTCATTATAGTGGTTACCATGATGTTGAAGGTCTGAACACTGGGACAGAGGGTCTCCATTTCTAATGTCTTGTCGCCTGGTACGTCTAAAAAATAACAATAAACAACATTTTATGTATTTTAGAGTTTTGGTGTCAAAAATATTCAAGGAAAAAAGAAGGAAGAAACTAGGCAACAATTACAAAGGACAATGTACAAAGGCCAGCATTTATAAATGTTAAATTGAATCACTGGCGTTATGATTGTGTGCTAATACCTATAAACCACTAGGGGGCAATATTACACTAAGTCATCTTCTCTGATGCTTAGTCCACATTAGAAAAATGTTTCTTTCCATCTTCAACCATTGCTTATTCAGTATTTCACATTAGTAGTAATAAAAGAAATCAAACCTTGGCAGATTTGCAAAGCTATAAAATTGGATATGGGAACACTGCACTTTGAGTGCATTCTGACCAGGTATTACTGGCCTATTACTCATAGTTTGTGGACTTTGCTATTGTGTTTTAATGATGGGAAGACATTTTGATGTCCTGGCAAGTATTTTCCACATGGACCTGATTGTCACAGTGAAATAAAATTGTTTGACAAGCGCTATAAAAATCAAAGACTTGTGGACTTTATGTAAGCCAAAGGTGAGGTATGGAAAGGGACAAGCGGTGGGAATAAAGGAGAAAGACTAAAAAGAAACAGATGCAGTTGGGTCTATATTGCCTTTACTGTGCCATTCATATATCCCTCAAACATGTTCATTTCCTGGTGAACCGATCAGGTCTTTTTGGCTGTCTGAGCACGTGCAGTACTGAGTTTCTGGTTTTCATTCTGGATAAGAAGAAAATATATGTGGTGGATAAAAAGAGAGGAGTTGGTCTTGGCCTTAACCATGGGGTGTGCCAACTGCAGTCTTTCCCTGTCAGAGTCAAGTATACCATTGGCCTGTAGTGTGTATTGTGGAGTGGAAGTGTGTGAGGGCTGTATGGTCAGTAAGTCCCTCCAGATATAGTAGAGGGTAATTTGAGGGTGAGCTTGTTCATACCTCCTTGCTGTGGGGTGAAGTGGTCAGACAGCTCCTGTTGGCTGTAATTTTCTGTGTGTCTCAGTGTGTGTCTTTTGTGTGTGGTGTGCTGGCTGTGGAGAAGCATTCAGAGGAACAGCTTTTTGGCAGGAGCTTGAAGCAGGTTTCTGAAGTTGACGCACATTCTCAGAGTACAGTATGTCTTTGAGCACCACTAATTACTGTATTTCATGCTGGTGTAAGACTGAAGCTCCAAATGTCTTCCATCTATGCAGTGTGTGCCTGGCATCTGTGTACTTGTTTGGATTCACAGACTGTTTGAAACTGAGGTCAGAGAATCAAGGTTGTGCACAGTGATGCCCTTGAGCAAAACATTTATAACAGAGCATTAAAGCCAAGAGGAGCCGAATCCAGGTGCACTGATAACTCCCAGGTGTGAGCATATGTGACGTTATAAATACATGGGAGCATGTTGTTGAAAAGAACCATACAACCTTGGCAATTCCCCTGAGGATAAATAAAGGTTAGAGCAGAGCTTTTGTTTGGTAAGTCCTCATACCTTTTGGCAGTGGGGAAGTATCTGGAGCACTCTGTGCCGTCCCAGGCACAGTACGGGTCCCTGGCTAGACAGCACTCTGCACAGGCTTTCCCATACACCTCACACCGGTGCAGAGACATCTGCGATACTCCCAGTGCAGAGCCAAGGTACAGCTGTTGCTGTGGGAGCCACAGAAAATAATAAAGTCATAAATAGTCACTGCTGAATGAATATTTGTGGAGGGAATGTGGTTTTACATTTTAAGATTTTGATGTGTGTTTAAGAGCTCATCTAATCATATATATCTCATTGTGGTGACATCTGTCTCCAGCTATTGGAATTACAATGTGTAAAACATGCTCTTACCTGCTTTGTTGACAGCTCCATTGCAGTGATAGGAGTGGGATCCTGTACAAAACAAAAACAGATGAGGCCCGTGAGCATTTTATGGGTAGATTTTTTACATACTTTTCAAGGGATGTCATCTTAAATGAGTCACCAGACCTACCCTAAAAACAGTCATCTCCTCCAGCACAACCTCTTCTAGGTCATGCCAACTTTCCCTGGGGATGGTCACCACTTTCAGCACAGTGCCCCTGTCTATAAGAAATATCATAAATAAATAACACACTCTCTTAAAACTGTATGAGTGTGTATGTTCACTAACCCACTGCAGGCTTACACACCTGTGCCAATGAACATGACATCATACTGCCCATCCTCAGCCTCCACTCTGTCCACCACCAGCTGAGAGAACTGGTAGTCCACATCTGTCCGCACCATTATGGGACGTCCTCCTATGGGCTGAACGGGGTTGTACATGGCTGGGTGACCACGGGCAAAGGTAATGACATCATCTGGCAGATCTTTGGTGGAGTCAAAACCCCCAAAGGTCTTACTGGGACACTAGCATAAAAAAAAAAAATGTTACTTTCACTATATTTCATATTCCTTTGAGACACACAACATGCAAGATACCAGTGTTGAGAAGTGTATGCTTACAGTGCCAGGTCGAGGGTAAGGTACTCTTCCTTGAAATGGTACCCATTGGTAGTTTGGGCCATCTCGGTGAGCATAGGGACCAAGAAACACCCTCCTGATGTCAGCCATGTTGTACATACACACTGCTGAGCCTTTAAAGATGTTACTGTGGAGATAGAGAAAAGACAAGGCTTCTTTACAGCAATAACCTATAATTAGCTTTCAAACTAAAATAAAATGAACTCAAACACATTTTAAAATGCTCTTGAGAACCCGGTGTACCACTATGAGACCTATCCACAATTTGAGAAGTACTGCGTTAGATGAAAAAGCTTTCAACAACAAAAGAGTTTGGAGACCATTTGGACTGCTGAAATCTAGGCTGATGACTCCGATAAACAAAGGGGATTTGTGAATAATCGGTCACACAAGACAGGGATTAGGAACTTGTGAAATCCTGAAGAAAGACAACAAAATGACCCTTCGGCACACAAAGACGCGAAGAGGAGAGGGCTGTGATTACCTAAGTATGGACTGACAGATGGGAACTTCTCTGTGATTGCTCCCAGCCTCCTGAGAACAGACAGGAATGTGGGCACACCACCAACCAAACAGGACCTGCGCTAGACTGTATTCAAAACACTCTCCAATATTTAACTAGCACTTTGTTTGAGCCAGATGGGTGGATTTCATTTTTAATAGCAGAAAAAAGCAGAATGAGGTAAGATCAATCCATTGTGAATAAAAATATCAGTCTATAGGCCAATCTTTTATTTTAGTCTGCCCCAGGTCATCCATGACAGAATACAGTGATACAAAGAGAACGATCTTGGAAGAAAATCTAATTGCAATTTTTCAGACATTCACTATTGTGAAAGTAGTTACATTTGTAATGTGGTGTGTTTACAATATTTCAATAAAGAGATATTTTGTTCTTTACAGAGGACATTCTATACACTAAATAGTTTCAGCCAATACAATTTTATAATTGTGCCAACTTCAGTTATGATTTTGATTCATTTGCAATATTGTGCAGTTCTATACAGAAACCATTTCTTGAGAATTCTGTTGGTACAATGCAACACAAGTGGTACATAATAATAACTTGGTAGTATTTCTACGGAGTAAAAAAGCTTTCAGAAATATTTGTGTGCATAGGATAGATATACATGCATATTTGGCTGTATTTGAGCATAAAATAAATATTCGTAAACTCTCGAATGAGTCCAGTCGTACATAAAATGTATTGTGTGCATTTTATCCATCAGAATACAAATTGAAAAGTTACGACATCAAGAATTACAATCACAAAATGAACATTTACAATTACACTTTCTTCAGTATGAATACGAATTCAGGACTAAACCAGGACTAAACTAGAACTGAAAGCTTTCATACTCCATATACTGTATTTCACAGTAGATTTACTTAAGTACTTGTGGTAACAAATGTGTTTTTGGAACTTGTGGTGATTGAATCAAGTAAAAAGCTTGGCTCCTTTTGTGTTTATATGAGTAACAAAAAGGCTGTTTTCAGAATCATCCTCCATCAGCATTTATTAACCTCTTACTGAGCATTTTCTTTTAAATTCACACTGAATAATTATGCTGCTTAAAGTCTGATGTCAGATTTCATCTTGACTTCACCAATTAACTTTGCTAGTGAAACACACATGGTAGTTGGATTAATTTGCACATAGGAAGCTATGGGTCCGGTGTAATTTGCAAAGTGCTTTGTCTTACTAACTGCGATGGGAAGTGGTATTTGACTAATTAGGGATGTGGCTGGCATATATACAATAAAAAGGGCTCACTAAAGCATGGAAGATGAATGGATTAGCATTTGAAAATGTTAATTACTTACAAAATTCAATTAACTACGGGACTGCTGATGTGTGTGGTTAAGGGAAAGGGTGTGCATTTATATGTGTGAATAATAAAGTCAATGGGAAAAATAACTAGACTTTATGCACAGTACACAATTCCACAATCAAACATTGATCTGTGAGAGGAACCATCCCCGAGCATCATTAGGCAAGGATATTAAAAGCTAGTCCCTCAAATCTCTTCTCTATTCATCTCAGAAAATCTGCTACTTAGAAAACCAATTAAACCACTCTTTTCCTCAATGCCTCATAATTGAATTTTACAGCCAGTGTGTATGAGACAAGCACTGCACCAGACACTTAATACCGTATATCCCTAAAAGCAGACCATTTGAATATATAGTGTAGAATATTAAAATCATGATCATTATTACTTATTACGAAGCTATATTATATTATTTTTAGAGGTTAATTGTTATGTTTGATATTATGATTTTGTATAATTATTACTGTACAATTAAGTGAACTCTTAATGGTGAAGAATTAAAGGGCCTGTACACAAATTAAATATTTATATATCAGAGCAAAATGTTTTTTGTCCCAGTACAGATTGTATAAGCAGTTCTTGAAATCAAAATAAGTCCACTGTATGAACTTGCATCAAATTTTAAAGCATTTCTTGTCAATCAATCTGGAAGTGCTAGCAGTTGTTAGCCAAATTCCACTCTGGCCTCTGAAAGTTGTGAAAAAATGTTTATAAAGTGCCTTTAACAATTATCTTGGTAAACGAACTGAATGAGTGCATTTAATAAACTAGCCATCATGCTAAACAGTAATGTAAATCCTCCGGCCCATTGGTGACCTTTCCTGATAACAGATAACTGTATTTTTAACGCCTCTCTAAAACTTTTGCCCAGAAATGCTTTCCCCTATGTTCTCTCCTCAGTGCATGCTTGTATAAAGCCGCCACACCCAGCCTGTAGCAAAGCCAGCTCAGCCCCGGGGCAGTGGCCTGGGGAAAGACATGCATTCCTGTTGAGTGAATATCGTGTTTCTCTAGCTCTAATCTGATTTCCCTACAAGCCTCTGCTGCCAAGCTTTTCAATGGGGAATGGGACAGGTAGCAAGGAGCAGGGAATTGGCTAAAAGCAATCTCTTATACATGAAAAAAGTGGAAACTCAGGGTATTGCTGAGAAAGGGAAGCAGCCATAAGACACCTGTAAGTGGATTATAGAGAAGGGATTGCTGTCTGGAAATGCGCTTGGTGGCTCACATCCTGCCATGTCATTTCAAAATGGTTTAGATGTTTCAGATAAAGGGATGGGACGAAGAAGAAATCTGAGGCATGTGTTTTTTAGATACAGAGGAAATAACCTGTCCAAAATGACCACTTGTAGAATATACAGTATATGCTGATCTCCAAGCAACAAATCAACAAAACAAATATGATACTACAGCATCTGTCAAAATGAGTACATGACAAGCTCTGAGAATTTGCACCAGTGCATTTGGAATTTGTCATCAGAAAGATTAGTTTTGGTTTCTACCTGGAAGTGGTGAACACAGCATAGATGAGTGGGTTCTTGGGGTCCTTGGCGCTCATAAGATATACATCCTCTAAAATAACAAAACAAGAATGGAAATGAGAGGATTTTCCTAAACATAAAATGCATAGATGAAAGAAAAAATACTTACGTAGCTCGTCAAAATGTGTGTCTATGCCGTTGACCCCAGGTACGGAGCACATCAGGCGAGCCTTGAGGAATGTGGTCCATTTGTTGACAAGACTTCTGTGGCCACCCATGTCATTCTGCAACAAGAAATAATGTGAATACGTGGAGATCCTGAATCTCTCTTATGCTTATTATGTAAGTTACTCAAGAAACAAATGACGACTTAATTTAGATGACATATTTGAATTCTGGACTTGCTCCCCAAAATGTAAAATGTTTTCTTTCACAAACAGTAATAATTTGTGTTACCTTACACAGTTGTCCTATCCTTGCAATGGTTGCCTTGCCGGTGTGCTCTCCATCCATGGCATTCTCTTTGAAAAACAGGAAGATTTTGTCGTCTTCTGGGTTGTCGCTCTCAGGAATTAGGTGAACGCTAATAAATCTAGGATCTGTAACGAAAAATAAATTTATATCAAATTTCTGCCCTGGCTTGCACATTGAAAAAAAAAACCTATCTAACCTACCTTACCTTTGTGTCCCTATGACAATCCTCTTACCCCTATTTGACACCTCCAGATTCAATCCCCCATGATATTCTCCAGTCACGGCTCAGTAATAACCGCCATTTACTTTACACCCTGTTGTTACAGTATCTGACTTTGCCCCCGACCAGCCACTCCAAATCCAAATCCCACATAACCCCTGTCCCCAGACCACATCCTCTCTAACACACATGGCTCTGATTGTCCCAGGACACACTTGAATAAATTTTAAGGAAAAGAAAGCAAAATACAGGGAGCCCTGATGGTGGATTTATCTCATATAAGACATATGGGCAGAAGATGAGGACTGTTGTATTTAGTGTTGTTGGTATGATTAGAAATTAAACGTGCTTATTTTTATTTTATGCTACTACTCAACAAAAATCTGACCTAAAACCCAGGTCAGTCAGTCAGTCAGGATTCTGTGGCTAAATTACTATTACTATTACCACTGTAACACACTGACAACAACTACAATTTTTCTAATGATTACATTCATAGAATATTCATGTGTATCAATAATACTGCTACCACTATTACTATCTCTACAAAGACTAAATTATTGCAACATACTTTTGAACCCTCAAAGCAAATAAGCAAAAGTAAGCTTTATAAAATGCACTGAAAATGTAAACAAGCTTCTAAATATACTTATATCTCCGCTTACACATAAAAAACTACACGAGCTAGAGCCTGAGACAGCCAGAAGATATATAGGTAATGCCATGAAACCCATTACAACATCCACACACTCATAATAACAGTTTCTTCCATATTAACACACATAACACTTGAACACATAATAGTTTTAGTAATGTGTAACTACTGCAAGTTTAATCTAGTTAATCTGCCCCTCTGCCAGTAAGTAGAAACCACATGAGCTAGTTAAAGAGATACAAGCAGTGCCATGTTACTGCTGGAGCCCATTAGGATATAAAGTGACTGTGAAAGAGGCGAGTGTGGCCAAAGTGGACAGCAGATTTATGCGTGTTGTGTGAGTGTGAGAGCTCTGGTATGAATAATGCGTACCCCACACACACTGTAGTCCTCTATTGTGAATACGTCCTTACTACACCATGATGAAGTGTACTGCGCGAGCACTAGCATAAAAACAACATGCTGTCAGCACCCGCAGAGGTCATGCTATTCATTATATGTGTAACAGCTAACACAAACAACATTATTCAGCCGTGGTTTGGTCCGACCTCCAGCTTAAGGCAAGACGCTGCAGCTGAAATATTTAGTTTTAGGCCAGTTTAAGCCTTTTTGTTAACAATCATGAGATACAATGCATTTCAACTCCAAACACATGGTAAAATGCTAAAGGTGCACTGTGTAACTTATTTTATTTAACCTGGCTTGGAAGCATCACCTGCTTGTCTCCATGGAGATAGATATTTAATGCCATTCAGTGGAACATTCCAGGCAAAGTCATCTCCACGGAGACATGCAGGTTGCGAACTCTCCACCAGAAATCGTGGCTTACTAACAAGAAAAAGACTCTTAAGAGCTGAGGAAATCTGCACACAATGTCCCCAAACCCAGGAAGACTAGCCCCTAATCCTTCCTTTCAGAACCCTTTACTGTGACCCCACTTTCCTCCCTTGTGTAATGAATACCATAACCTTTCTGATAATGTCAATAGAATATCTCCACTCCGGTAATCCGCAATTACAATCCCCTCTTTTGTGGTGAATTCTGCTTTGTGTGAATGGATACAACCCCCCAATTGTTTAAACCAGGTGAAAGATCGATGGAGGATTAACATCATAACAATAGTTTCATCTTCAAACTAGCTCTTTATGGGGATTTAACAGTAATCAGCAGTGCTTAAATTTGTGTATGTTTTTGATGAGAATGCATGGTGGAAAGGGGTGGTCTAGGAATCCAACCCTGCTATAGGAAAATGCCGCTGAGAGTGGATTAGCCATGTGTGAATGTGGGGGAAAGGACAATTTGAGGCAAAAGTCCACTGACCCTTTGTAGCTTTAAGTTCAGGGCAGTGCTGACAGTTAGCGATGAAGAGGAAGAGGAGTCGATAGCTGGCTTAATCTAACCAGCACAGACAAATCCATAGGCCTTTGTCAATGGGCTGTGATATCTGATGTCTGTTCATGAATGGAAATGATTGCCTGAGAGAGGATTTGAAACTCGAGTCTGGTCAATGCATCAAAGTGGAAATTTCCCCAACAAAAATGAGGTTCGACACTGAGTCGTCAGGCTCATATGTTTTTCCAGTAATTGAGATTAGTTGTGTATGTTTTTTGGAGATAAAAAGTTGTTTTCTATTATTTTTATGCCCCGTGTATTTTTATAAGGCAGCAAATCATTCATAACAAAGGATGTAGGTTTGCAGTTAAAAGTTTGTTTGGATAGAGCTTAATTAAATGTGACCTTGGTTACCATTAGTGAGCCGTTTTGTCTTCTTTGACCACATAATTTCCCCATTAAAGTATAATAATAATTTTCTCCAAAACAGCACGAAGAAATAACTTACCATTCAGCCATCTTGAATCGTGCTGCTCGGTTCTGATTGGATGGTGGTCTCCCAGAGTACGGAAAATGGCAAAGTCCCTTCCCATAAAATCTGCAGATGTGCCAGAGTACAGCTCACCATCTGCCAAACAGAGAAGTTAGAAACCATTTGTTATTGCTCTAACCGCATGTTTCCTGGAACTAATCAGGCAGATCAAACTCACCGATCAGCAGAGAGGCGGACAGCATCTTGGGGTCGTACGGGCTTTTCCCGCGGCCATTCTCAAAGTGCTGGGTCATTCGAAAGATGTTGTCCTGAAGCAGAAAGGGTCAAAGTTCTAAGAGTGGTCATTTTGAACACCATTTATTCAGATAGTAGCCATTTCAAATATATCTATAAAATGATATGGATTAAAATAAACCAAATTCACTTCCAAACTAAATATTCTTTTTTTTTTTTCCTTTGGAGAAATAACCCAGACATCATTTGTGCAACTTTCTCTTCCGTGAGCTCATAAAGTAGAGTGACGTGTGTTATAAAATAGAACAGATACAGCATTTTTTTCTGTGCTTTTCCCCCATACGGTCTTAAAACTTCAATAATAAAAACCAATTAGACTCAATTTGGACAGCTTTGTTTTAATAAAATCATATATAAAACAGCATTGAACACATTTGTTGACTTTTGAACAGAAAAGCTGCATGGTGCTGTCTCTCTCCCCTCTCTTCACTGTCACACTGCAGAGCCCACGCTGGTTCATTGATTAACCTGCAGACCTTTTATCAACATGACTGATTAAACTTGTGAACACAAAGAGAAGACATCGATGCCAAGGCAGATCAATGAGCAGAAAGAACAGATGCATGAGGGTGTATTGTTGGAGAAAATACAATAATTGAAAATGTCTGTATAATATTGTGAAACAACACTGCACGACCTAAACGTATTCTAATGCTTATACAAACATAAAATAGTGTCTATCTACAAAAACCTAAAAATTTGCAAAATATGTTATATGTTATAGTTTAGATAATTTAAAATTAATAGTACAGAAATATTTTTTTTCCATCTGACTATTGAAATTTATATGTTTTATTTATTTTAGTTTTGTTTATAGCATATACATGGCAGCAAATGTTACAGAATCCCTCAAGTCCTTCTGAAACTGAACAGTGATCTGGATTTAAAAGAAAAATAAACATTATTTCTATGACCCATTAATAACCTTCAGAATTTATTTTTAAAACAAATATGAAAACTTAAAATATTTTCTTTACAAGCACACTGAATAAACTACATTTTACACAAAGACTTGAGCAGAGTGTGTAGTGTAGATAAATGATTAAACCAGGTAAAGAATAACACATGGAGCCAGTGTGAACCGTGTCTCACCTCTGCCCTTTTGCCCATCTCCAGAAAAGAACAAATGGGATGAAAGGCCCCTGTGCCGCAGATGTACAAGTGCGTTTGGTTGTACGGTTGTAATACTCGGATAAAGTTGGAACACTCTTTCTGGAAAATAAAAGACAAAATTTTAGTACAATTTTATAAGTGTGAACTGCAGCTGCTAAACACATTTAAATCCACGTGGAATCCCTCCCTTTATTTATCTAGTAATACACACTGTTGAATTTATTACACTGGCATGCAAACCATCCAGTTATTTTTCAAACATCTTTGCAAATGTTATTATGTATATAATTCTCCAAAGTGCACTTCTTGCCCTCACAGTGTAATATTTAAATCAAATTAAATGCTTTGAGAAAATTACGTAGACACTTTTAATATGTGAGTAGCTCAAGATAAATAAATAATCAAAAGCACAAAATAATACACATTCATATTTTTGCAGGTATTACACTTAAGCTGGGACTTTCCACTTGCCATAGGTTCACAATGGAGCCTCTTTTAAAGGAAACCCAACCTGTATGTGAAACCTATATACCTTACATCTTTAATGATCCACATGTTAGAATTTACTGAAGCTATTTGAGTTGGCGCGGCGGCACATGTTGCTATAGTCCCAGTGGTGTGAGACTGTTTATTAAAGTGCTAATCAACAGGATTGGTTAATGTGGGCGGCTTATTAGCAACTCAGAGGAACTGATTTGGGCACATGTGTTTAAGAGATTAGACTGGGGTTTGGCTAATTATAAATACATCCTTGATATCCATCTAACAAATAAGTGCACACTAGCTTGGGGATTTGGGACTGGAGACGGCGGCTGAATTATCCTCTTCTTTGTACCACATGTATCTCCTTGGGTTACAAAAACTTCCCACATTTTGTTTTGACGACACAATTACGCTCCTCATGTGACATATACAGTAAGTGGATAAAAGTCTTGATATCTTCCAGAGCTAAAAGAAAATTAACTTTCAGATTTTTGCATTTTTTTCGCCAAAGCTTGATGTGTCTGTTTCTTTTCATGCTTAACATCAAATGTATTTTTACTCTGTAATTATTTTGAGCTGAACTAGCAGGGGATTATCAAAGTATTCACACCTTTAAATGTGTGGGATATATTTACCCACTGCCCCAACAAAGTGATGCCTATTCAAGCCACAACCCTGTAGCTGGGTAGGTAGTAGAAGATTAAATGAATTGCACTTCATCTTGTGGCTGACCCCAAGTTCAGACTAATGATTTTACCCTGTGTGTTTCTAATGTCCAACAGCAGCTCAAGTCCTCCCTGAGTCACTCTCACGTCTATTATAGACATTTCATCAACTTCTGTTAAAGGTTTGACCTGGCTGTCTTCAGGTCAACAGTTTAAGTATGTGGTAGGTAATAATGTGTAGTTTATTTTACTTAAATGTGCAGCTTTTTATGTATAATGAGTACTTTTTCTGAAAATGTAAACTTTTAAATAATAATTATTTAGGACATATATGTACAATTAATCAGTGTTGTATACAAATAAATGATGGTACAATCAACCATCTTCCAACTACTATGTTCTGGCTATATTGTGTAATATACAATTATGTGTAATAAACAAAAATACTGGAAATATATGTATGTATGTGTAAGTAAAGTACATATTTATAAAAATAAGGAATAAATTATTTAAATAAATAAATTATTAAAAAATCTAGCAGGTTAAATCCTCCAGTGACACTGGACTCTTGGGAATCCATTTTTATATGCTAAGCCACTATCTGCAACATCGCAGGCCATGTTACGCACTTGTGTTGCCAATTGAGTGATACAGCCATCAGGCATTTTTGGAGAGAGGCAGCTGTTACATTTGTTCTGTGGTGGACTGTAAATTGTGGTTTGGGAGAAATGCAGCACTTTGAGAGCACTCTCCAAATGCTCTGGTAATGTCCTAATCAAGGCACTCCGACTCGGCTGCTCTCACTGCCTCATTTTCAAGAGTAAACATTTTCACACATCACGCAAATACCTCATCACTGGGTTTTGTGAGATTTGGCACCCGCTTTGCACTGAATGGCTTGTGTGGCTGTGACTTAGATGTGAATGTACAACCCAAAATGCTGGGTTAGTGGAATCCTTGGGATATTTGGAAGTATGTAATTCAGGATAATCCTAAAAAACCCTTTGCCCACCACATTCGGCACTCAACCAGCCACGAAATTAAAATCAGATACGAACCAAATGGTAACAATGCGATAACACTTATAATAGTTCTGCGTACACAAACAAAGCCTAATGACATATTATAGGTACAGTACAGAATAACACATGTGTTCGAACAGTGTGGAGAGATAAGGGGAAATTCAAACAATTCCCTCACATAGTAAATATGCACAGACTGGGCCGTGGGCACACTGTAAAAAAAAACACTCTACAAGGGAAATAAAACCAGTGTCAAATAATGTATGTAACTGACCACAAAAATATATTCTTCATAACAGTGTAGTGTAATTGTCATGTGTAATGTCAAACTGTTATGATATGTTATGTTTAAATGTAGTTATTGTCAGGACAGGCTTACCCCTAAATCTTTTCCTGCCCACTTGCACTCGTCCCGTTTTGAGGGGGTGGCCGGCCACGCAATCTGTGCAAAGAAGACAGAGACAAAATCACACCAAGCAGGAGGTGAAGAGAGGCTATTTAAATCAATGGACAATTGCATCTATTACAGTCTATCCTGCTCTTACTGTATTCAGTGTTTGTATTATGGAATTCTCTGTTCTCAAATGTTCAAAATCTCAATCAAAAAGTAAATCTCCTTTTTACAGTTACTTGCTTGAGCATATGGTTGCACTTTGTTCTATGAGGGACAGGATTGGTTGTCAAATAAATAATGGCTTAGTGTTGTCCTAAAGGCAGATCCATCTGTAGCCCCCGGTGTCAGAGCATAAACACACATGGAGCATGACGGTGCTGGTGAGGAAATGATTATATCCTCTATATCCAGAGAGGAGTCGCCTTTGGCCACACATGTGGACTGGCTCAGGCGCTCTATGAATATACATGTTCACACAGGGGTTTTGAAAGGGACCGTAGTGCATTGAGAATTGATTCATTGTCTGTATTGGTTAACTGCATTTGTTTAAGAATGATACGCCCAGTAATTACTTTGCATAATCAGTACTTTCTGAACCTCAGAGAGAGAAATAAAACAGACACACAGTCCACAGGGGAATATCTTCAGAGACAGTGACAGGGCATTCATGAGTCCTGGAGAACTGCTGCCTCTGTGTACAGCCTGTAGGCTGAGTGTGTATCTGTCTGTGAGAGCCCCAATCAGATAAAAGAGCATCTAACCTAGTCCAGGTGCTGTAATGGAATTATGGACAGCCCTGTCTGGACCAGACAGAGAGAGAAGGATGAACAGAGCAGGGGAAGAAAGAGTTATGGTCCCCAGAGGCAGCAGACAGGAGAGGTGAAGTGATGAGAAAGTACAGAAGAGTGTAGGGAAATCCTTACCATTCGGTGGTCTCTGTTAATGTTCACAAGGTCAAAAGAGAAGATGTGGTCCTCTGCACCCACCAATAACCTCCCTCGCTCCTCATCCAGTAGAAATGCATCATAGCTCGAACTGTTGGCTAGGCCATTGAAGGTTACAAGATTACTAGACTCCAACATCTCTGCAAAGCAAAATAAAGAAAGTAAAATTAATCATTTTTATTTCATTAATAACACCTTCATTTTAAGATACTTGCATATACATTTCTTGTGTTGGAGTTAGTCTGTGCCATTGTTTGTGACATGCCTCACACTTGACAGTCAGGTATTGCGTGAGACATTCAGAGTGAAAACAGCATGTCCCAATCAGAGACACAGTTCAGATTGTTGAGCCGTGTGATTGGTTAAATTATTCATCTGGTGTTAGGGCCATGCAGACAGCGTGTGTGAGTTCAAGTGGGTGTATGTGGCATTTAGCTGTAAAGGACTTATTATGTAAATTAACTTTTAGAAGAGGGTGACTGCACATGTATCTCACCACACTGTTCCAGTCAGGCGCACAGTGAGTTCAGGAGACATGGACATATTATAATTAAGTTAATGTTTAGTTACCCAATGGATTCAATCAGTACAATATTTATTATGTAAGTATGTAATGAACAAACTTGAAAGGTAACTATTTGTATTCATTTCACAATGTATGCTCATCCATGTAGACCCTGGCAAAATTATATTAAATTAACAGTTTAGGTAATTCAGTGCTACCCTAAACCAGATTTACATAAATATTTTGCACGATGAAACAAACAACAGTGATGAGGTGTATAGTCGGTCATCAATTTAATTCACAAATTTAATTAACCCAAAACCCATCTGGTTCATTGAAGAAAAAACATGTGCTTTTTATTATCACCACAGGTACGAGGCTTTAATGCTTCACTTTCACTTTCACACAACATCGTTCATCATCATCAGTGTCACCAACATAGACCCTCACGAAACCTGGAGACACATCCCACCCCCTGACAACATGTAACTACACTGTACATACACAGGCATTCTATTGGTCTGCCCTCCCAGTGGAGCTCTGATTGACGGGCTGCTATAGGAGCCATCTGTGCCCACTCACAGCGTGTGTGTAAGATCTTGGACATCTGTGTCTACATAAAAGAAGGGATTGAGAGAAGGAAGTAGTGTACGGAAAGAAAGAGAAAGGGAGGGAGAGAGGGGATAGAGGGGAGTGGTTGTCACCTAATAAAGACAGTCACAGCTCATCTGCGTCAGGCCCGTTTCAGGATATGTATTTTGGAAAAAGGAGATGGTGGGTGTGGGCCCACTGGAGGTCTTTGGAGGAGCTCAGGGTTTGGGTGCATTGTAGCGCAGATGGGCCGAGCCTGCATGCATGGGTGTGAGAGAGTGAAGGTATTTCTGCTCCTGCTGGTCAGCCCAACACCCTGGCACCAATACAAAGGATATATGCTGCTTAAGGATGGATTAAAGGACAAAAATAGAACTGCTTCACATAAACGCCAATAATACAAACAACATGCACAATTATTTGGTTACTGTAGTTATCAGCGGTATTGATGGTGAAATACTACTTTTCCTATGGCCGAGTACCCATAGACAGTGGGTTGGTAATTACAGCAATGCTCTTTTGTGAAACATATATAAGATTAGACAGTAATAAATATGGCTACTATTTCTCTTTTAATAAATAATTTCAATTTCAATTTATATATGAATTCTTAGTGCGGCTGCTCAACACAAAATGTACAATTGAACTGTTATTCACTAAAATAACCTAAAGACTATATACATTTTTTTTCTTTTATTTAAAATATTTGGAAAAGTATCTTGTCACTCATTTATTGCAGGGTTCACACTATAAATAATTCTGAAGAAGAACTTTAAATACAATAGTACCATACAATCTCGAGCACTACAATTTAACTGGAACATTATTAAAGAACATAAGAGAAGAAACCTGAGGACTAAAGGATAAAAAATCCAGACCAATAAAATCATACACTTGCCCTCTCTGATTTATGAAGCTATCTTTTCCCTCTCTTACTTGCTCCTTTGGCACTGTGCATGTAACTGTATCATTTAATGGTGAGATCTGAAGTCTAAAGCAGGGAACACTGGAGCCTCAGAGATCGGTCACGAAAGGTTCCCTCTGTTTGGGCCAAACGAACAAAAACACATCCATTTTTCAACACGCGCTGATCTCCGACATTGAGTTCACCAGTACAAATACACACACAACAGCTTTATCTTAGCATGAATCAAGCTCAATTCGGAGGTTCAGAGGAACTGGGGCATGAGTACCTAAGGACCTCCAAGCTAAACACAGGATACAAACTAGAGCGATGAATATCCGTGGTGGACTGAGTTAGCATGCATGCAAAGACAAAAACAGCAGCCACACCCCTACAGTGACATACATATATTAATATTGACCTATATGTTTACAACACATCCATTATACCACGACATGCCCACAAAAAACAACAGTTGTAATCCAATCAGTGGTTTTGCTTAGACAGCACCATCCGGAGAACATTGCCCCACTCAGCAACTTCTACCCTGAACACACAAAAACACACACATACACACAGTTGAGCACATGTTTACATGGCTTTTGAGGACATTACATTGACTTAAATTCATTTCCTGGAGACTAATCCTAACCTTAACCATAATTGCTTCCTGTGAATTAATGGTTGCTTAATCTGCTGGTCTTTTATTGACCAATGACTCATTGATTTTGCGACTTTCTGTGGGTTAAAACAACAATGCTCAAAGGCCTGCGTGGTGAGTGCTGTTGTGATTTTTGGGCTGTACAAAAATACTTGAATTATTACTTGCCCAATCGTAATTTAAAACCTTACCATTTATACTCAATTTTAAACTCCACTTTAAACCAAGTTGTTGATCTAATAATACAGGATTTACATCATGTGGACCTGAATTTTGTGATTTGCCCCTCACAATTTACACATAAAATATAAATAAAGATATTATAGCCAATTATTTTCCCACCTTCTCCTGTTATGCTTGGAGCCTGCAGTTTTTTTCACTCACTATTGTACTTCAGCAGTGCATACATTCAGGTGGGCTAAACAAACACCATTAAATATGGCTGACAGAAATACACACAAACGCAAATGTGTACATGCACCTGTGTCTGTATGTCCAACCTCTTTGTTCAGTTCAGTCATTCAATAGCATAGTACAGCAATGCACTTCAGCGCTACAGTATAACAGCTATTACACAGTGTACTAGAAACAGCTTTTCACAATTTACAGAAGAATACTCCAAAAATTATCTCATTGTTGAATTTAGACTCAAGAATCAGTCAGTAGTAGGAAGCTGACATACTCCAAGAAATTGTATATTTGTTCAAGCTCACCATTGATTGATTGATTTATTTATTTAGACTGAAGATACACAAATATCACACAAATCACTGCCCACTAGATTGAGGAGGGATGAAAAAGTGAGTAAACTGACAGCCAAGTTTTAGTTTCAAGAATTGTGCATGAAAGAGTAAAACTAATCTATAAATGCTAAACTTCATAATTCATTTGTCATATGTTTATTATACAGCGTAATGGTTTGCAGTTACTCGAAATTTTACTCATGATTTGTTCCATTGTGTATTATGTCCAACAAAAGAGCATATGCAATAATCCCATGTGACCATTTGAAACTGCACTTAATCCATTCACATAAATGATAATGCGTCTCTCTATCAAACTTCATTATGCAAAACAACCTGGCTCTTCTCTTTTAAAAGCTGCTGAATTCAAACAGAAGAATCACATTTAAATTTCAAGTGCATTTGTCTGTGAAGCACTCTCCAGCCCCCTCCTCCAGCAGACAGCCAGTTAGACGCCCCCACATCAGCTATAGCAGTGCAGTGATGATAAAGGGAAGAAGACAGGGCATTAAATGATGTTTATCTGACTATGTACGTTCAGTGGGAAACGTCGGTTTGAGTGACACCAAACATAAAAGGCATGTCTTAGAGACAGGAAAACACTGAGCTGTGTTTGATCCACTTTGTAAAATGTCTGTGCTTCTAGATGCATTTGTAGAATGTAGGATTTATCTGCAAGTAACAAAACAATAGAAAGTACAATAGCAAATACTGACCAATGACCACCATTTGATTTTCTAACTTTCTGTTGGCTAGATAACTTTGTTAAGATCTGCTGAGATTTTGGGGTATACAAAAATAAATAGAATAGAATTGAAATACGTTAAGTACGGAATTTTGTAAATAAGACTAAATACACATACATGTTATTAATTTGACTGACTATACAATTGAATGTAACAGAAATAAATATAGTATAAATATAACAATATTAATAGCAATCTTCATAAAGAATGCCATGGCAGATAATATACTGAACAAGATAAAGAGAAACAAGATTTACAAAAAAAGACTGGCATAAGAATAAATATAAACAAATGTCAATCAAAACTAGCATAGACAATAGTTCCATTAAAAGCTATTCAGATTTGTAATACCATTCATAATTAAGCTTGAAAACAGAAAACACAAGCTAAAATCAACCCACACACAGAAACTCCATTAACAGTTTTGAAAGAAGCAGCCTTAAATGCGTGGGTCTGGAGAATTACTTGTGTTTATCTTTCAAACACGAAGTAAGTCATAGAGTACAGTAATATCTGCAGTGGTTTGGTTTGGCATGTTGCTCCCCCAGACTTCACTAACTCTCCATCCAGTTCACTCTTTATTCTCTGTGTGTGGTGTAGCTCACATTTAGCTGCTCTTACGGGGGCCTTTGCCACAAAACACAGGTGTCTGTAAAGAGACGAGACACAGCCAATGGAAATTTGCGGAGGGCTTTACTTAACAAAGTGTTCAAATATTATCCTAAGCTTCAGGGATATCCACACATACCTCAAAAGTTCACCTCCGCACCCTATTTGCCCCCGCTCTTTTCTTTCTCTCTAAGCACAGTAGCAGGTGTGGGCCGGTTTCCACGACGACAGTCCCCATAAAACAACCCAAGTCAATGGATTTCTCATTCAGGTGAAGCTGAGTGACAGTTCTGGGCAATTGGGCTGTCCGGACATGTGAGTATGTTGGAAAATCCTTATAAAAGTGTTGTGGGTGGAGGATGAGTGATGATTAATTACTTT